GGAGGGAGGGAGGGAGGGAGGGCAGGTGCCGCACCGCCACCCGGACCACGTTGTGCTGCAGCTCAGCCGGCAAGCTCATCTCGCCCAGCCGGCGCCGCACCTCCGCCACGTCGTGCGAGCACAGGTACTCCTCCACCACGGAGCCCACCTCGCGCCGCACCGCCGCCACCTCGCCCGGGGACGTCTCCGCCCCGCCCCGGTGGCCGCCGAGCCTCAGGGCGGCGCCGTCGAGCGCGGCGGCGGCCGCCGGCGCCGCGCTAAAGTCGGCGGCCCAGCGAGCGAGCTCTGCGCGAGGCAGCAGGCCGTCGAGGACGGCGTCGGCGAGGAAGTGCGCGAGGAGCGGCGTCGCGGTCGGCATGTCAATCGTCAGGTCGTCGAGGTCCGCGAGGATCGCGCGGAAGCCCGCCGCAACCTGCTCGGCGGTGAGAGTGCCGCGCTCGTGCAGGCAGGAGAGGAGGATCGCGATCAGCTCGCGCTCGCGGTCCGCCTCGTCCATCGCGCGCAGCACGCCGCGCTTGACAACCTGGAAGTGGAACTGCGGCGCCTGCAGCTCGAGCACGCACCGGCACGCCTCGCTCGCGTCGAACCCGTTTAGGTACTCGTCCACGATGAGGTCGAACGCCTGCTTGAAGCCTTCGACCGTCTCCACCACTGGCGCGCCCGAGCCCTCGGGCACCGCGAGCTCGCTCACGACCAGCTGCATATCGCCATCGCCCTTGGAGATCCACCGCCGCGTGCCCGGCACCGCCCGCCGGCCCACGTCGCCAGACGGGCCGCGCGGCAGCGCCTCCTCGCCGCCCGCCGGCTCAGACACGGCGACGAGGCGGTGGAACTCTGAGATCGACAGTCGCTTGGTGGCTGGCATGTGCAGCGATTTCCTGCGCGCGAAAAAAGAATTCGGTCTGAGTCCAAGTGCGCACACTGGTCGCCGGCATCATCCGTAGAGGCACGAGTGTTCGAAGAGAGAGTGGACCTGAGCAACAACATGACCTGTAGGCAAATGATCGGAGTGGGAGTCAGAAATGTGGTCCTTGCGCGAGGGGAGCTCGATAGACTCGAGGGGCCAGGATACGCCGCGAGGAGGACGGAGTTGCGCCGACAGGCGAAAGAAGCCGCGAGAACAAGGGACCGGCAGGCGGCGGCGTCGCAGGACGGGGCAGAAGAGAACAACGCGACAGAGGAGGAAGTGACAAGGGAGAGAACGACGAGGGTGGGACGACCGCGTGGTGGCATGAAGGTTGCAGCGAGAATCAGCGAGAGACTGCGAAGAGAGATAGGAAGAGGCAGACTCCCTAGGGTGGGCGACGGATAGCGCACCACACACCTCTCCTTAAAATCCCTGTGTGGTGGCGGCGTGCCGTCCTCCCATCCCTCCCTTGGGTTGTCTGTTTTCTTTCTTTCTTTCTTACTGGTCCCTGGACACTGCCATCACTGTGCCATCACTGGCACTAACACAGGAATAAATTGCCGCTCGTTGGGCGGGTCGTCGGTCTCGCCTCGCGTCGCCGCTTCGTCACGCACCCCCTCTGCGCTCGCGCCTTCCGAGGACGGCCCCGCTCCACTCGTCGCCTCCGCACTCCGTTTCTGTGCTAGGCCTATGGACTCCGCGTGGCATCGGCTCGGGCGGCAGACAGCCAAGGCGAACGTCGAACCCTCCTCCAACTTTTTGCGGGGTGTGGTATACAGGAATACAGCTCGCCGACCGAGTCAACCCGAGAGGCGTGCTGGGGCGAGAGCCCGCCCAGACGGCCTCGGCGATTCAAAAATCAACTCGGGGCAACAAACGGGCACAAACGCCAGGCTACAAAACCTCGTCAGCCACACGTGCGGTTCTCGCCCCTACAAGCCCGTGTCCCGAATCCAGTGCCGATACCCATACACACAAACAGGTCCATACATATATGGCGTCCGCCGCCCGCAAGCGCGCCCGCACCGGCGGCGCCGAAGAGGACGAGGAGCCCGTGCCGGTCGCGGATGGCTTCGAGGCGCGCATCTTTGGCGCGCGCGTCGTCGGCCAGGTCTCCACGCTGGCGCTCGAGGGCGAGGACGGCCCTCTATCTCTCCGTCGTGTTGGCGTCGCGAGCGACCACGCGGGCGCCTGGTACGTCGCGACGAAGGACTCGCTGCTGCACGTCTCGGCGGCTGGGCGCGTGCGCCGCGTGGCAGCCTTGCCAGCAAGTGGAGTCTTCTACACCATTGCCGCCAGCCCAGACGGGAGCGCGGCGTTTGTGGCGGACTGCAACAACCACAAGATCCGGCGGGTGGAGGTGGCGACGGGAGAGGTGACGACGCTCGCGGGCAGCGGCACCACGGGCAGCGCCGATGGCGTGGGCGACGCGGCGCAGTTCGACTGCCCAAATGGCATCGCGATCAGCCCCGACAGCAGCGCGGTGTTTGTGGCGGACTGCGGCAACCGCAAGATCCGGCGGGTTGAGGTGGCGACTGGCGAGGTGACCACGCTCGCGGGCAGCGGCGAGGGTGGCGGCGCCGATGGCGTGGGAGGCGCGGCGGAGTTCTACCACCCTTACGGAAACGCCATCAGCCCAGACGGCGGCGCGCTGTTTGTGGCGGACGTCACCAACCACAAGATCCAGCGGGTGGAGGTGGCGACTGGCGAGGTGAGGACGATCGCGGGCAGCGGCGCCAGTGGCAGCACTGACGGCGTGGGCGACGCGGCGCAGTTCGACTGCCCAGCTGGCATCGCCATCAGCCCAGACGGCGGCGCGCTCTTTGTGGCGGACAACGGCAACAAGAAGATCCGGCGGGTGGATGTGGCGACGGGCGAGGTGACGACGGTCGCGGGCAGTGGCACCAGGGGCAGCGCTGACGGCGTGGGCGACGCGGCGGAGCTCAACGGACCAGCCGAAGTCGCCATCAGCGCCGACGGCAGCACGCTGTTGGTCAGTTCGAGCGGTGGCCTCCGTCAGGTCTGCGTGGCGGCGCCTCCTCCGCCTCCCTCCTTTGCCCCGATCGTCGTTCCGCCTTCGACCATCCTGGCCGACCTCGCAAAGACGCGGGGCGACGCCTCCCTCCCGCAGGGCATGGTCACCTTCCTGGTCGGCGACGACGAGGAGCGCGTCGAGCACGTCACCAAGGCCAACCTCTGCGCCCGGTCCCCGGTCTTTCGGACCATGTTCGGCATCGGCATGAAGGAGCGCGACGCCACCGAGGTCACGGTGGCCCACACCGACCTCGCCAGCTTCACCGCCCTCATCGACTACCTCCTCTCCGACAAGTTCGACCTCGGCGAAGAGGAGGGCAGGGCGCAGCGCGCGCTCGACCTGCGGGAGCTGGCGCAGATGTACCAGGTGCCGCGCCTCGAGCTGCTCTGCGCGCAGGCGCTGCAGGAGAGCGTCGGGCCGGCGACCGCCGTGCCGCTGCTCGAGGCGGCGCACACGATGGGCGACGGGCGGCTCCTCGCGCAGTGCCGCCGCTTCGTGGCCGACCACGCCGCCGAGGTGCGGGCGAGCGGCGGCGTGGAGCAGCTGCGCGACTTTGGCGTGGCCAAGGGGCTGCTCGGCGACGCGCTCGACCAGGTGGCGGAGCTCAAGGGGACGGTGGCGGCGCGCGACGCGGAGCTCGAGAAGGTCCGGGCGGAGGTGGCATGAGTGAGGGGCAGCGCCCCGCGCCCTGCGATCGCTCGCCGCTTGGCACCAGTCTCCCAGTGTGGCAGTGAGAGCAATCTAGAGCAGTGTGACAGCGCAGCGCGCCGTGTACAGGGAGCGCCCTCCTGCGACACCGTTTTGATTTCCCGGTACGTACGTTCGTCAGTCTCTCCTTCTCTTTTCATTCCGTGGTCGCCACCCTACCAGCCCTTGTCCCGAATCCAGCCCTCCGCGCGTGCAATGGAGCGTCCCGCCGCCCGCAAGAGCGCGCCCGCACCGGCGGCGGCGGCGAGGACGGGGACGAGGAGCCCGTGCCGGTCGCGGATGGCTTCGAGGCGCCCATCTTTGGCGCGCGCGTCCTCGGACAGGTGACCACGCTCACGCTCGAGGGCGAGGACGGCCCTCTGGCATCGCTCAGTCGCCTCGCGTTGGCGTCGCGCGGAGCTCCAAGTGCGTGCAGGAGTCTGGCGCGCACACTGGTCACTGGACACTGCCATCACTGTGCCATCACTGGCACTAACACAGGAATAAATTGCCCGTGCTTTTTCGGTTTCTTCTTTCTTATTTAAGACAGCCGACTCTACCACGCTCGGGTGCCCACAGGGCCCAAAAAAGAAAGGGAAAACTAAATGGGGCACGACCCATCGCAGCACCTCGTGTTGGCCAGTCGAGAAATTGAGAGTGTGACTAGGAGGGAGGGACGCTGGGGATTCTCAAAGGTATACCCTTGGAATGGCCGGATCCAGCCTTGAAAGTACGAGATCGCGCGCGCTTCGCGCGCTGCACCGCCTGTTCTCCGCGGCTGAGTGACGACGCGTGCCGTGTGCCAGCAGAGTTGGGCGCGCGCGGCGACGGCGCCCGCGAGGGAAGGCGCGGGTGCAGCGGCCGCCGGCGGTCGTACCGCTCGCCGGCCAGCGCAGCAGCGGCCAGCGCAGCGGCCGCCGGCGCAGCAGCCAGAGCAGCCGGTGCGCGCCTTGCGAGGCGAGTACTGCCGCCCGGCAGCCTTGAGGCGGCCAGGCGGCAGTACTCGCTCGAGCTTTGCGAGCCGTGCGCGCGCCGAGGCGCGCGCGGCGCCCGCCCGCCCGGCTGCCAGTAGGAGGCGGCGCAATATGGCCATAGTACAGCCCTTGAGGAGGAGGAAGAGGCTGGCTGGCAGTGCTGTATGCCCCCGAGGGGCAGTTTTGGGGCGGTGCTGTCCCCATCCCAGGGGGCTGCAGAAGGCGTCCGCAACCGGGACAACCCGCCCCCCCAGCCGAGGCCGGTCGAAGCCCACTCAGCCATGAGGGTGTCCTCTTGGTGCTCCTGGCGGCCGTTCAAAGGTCGGGCGCGCGCCGATGGGGTCGACCGATGGGGGGGGGGGGGTCTTGCTTGCTCCACACCGAGCGCCATCGGTCCGGACCGGTGCACTCAATGAGTCATTGGGAATGAGGGGAGGCCTGCACAAGGTCTGTGCCGCGGCCGCTCGGCGCCAAGTGCAGTGTCACGCTCGCACGCGAAGGGGACACGCGAAGGGGACACAATGGGAAATCCTCGTTTCCTTTTCACCGTCGGTCCCCCAACGGGGCATAAAACGCAACGGAAGAGGCCTCGCTCCTATTCGAACACTCCAGGACATCAGATTTGGCATTTGCCTCGTGCGCCCCTTTTTGAGTCGGAAAGCTATTTTCTTTTGGGTCCTGTGGGCACCCTAACCACGCCGCACGCGTTGGTCTCCGTTCACTCCCGCACGACACGGGTTCAAGACACACGGGTCTGCGTGTCATCCTATGTTGGCCCTCTCCGTGCTGCCTCGCACCTCCGTCCAACATCCACGATCACCCGCCGTCGCGCGAATGGGCCAGCGCACGCGCGTGCTCATCGCGCAGGAGGCGTGGCGCACCTCCCCTCCCAGTCCCCGCCTCGCGCAGCCTCTCTCCGCCCCGCGGCCGTCGGGGCTCACAGCACAAACTAACACACCACAGCACGGCCGCAACGGCGACGACTCAACGTGCGCTGCTCTCGCCCTCAGGTGGGCCGGAGGCTAGGGTAGGGCGTCTTCTCGTCCCAGGCGACGGCCGCCTTGGCCTCCGCCACCCTCGCCGCCACCTCGGCCGCCGCCTCCTCCTCCTCGAAGTCGCTCTTCCAAAAGGTGTACGAGAGGGTCATCGTGTTGATGTTCTTCATCCTCCGGTCGGTGAGGAAGTCGGGGTCGACGTAGAAGAAGACGGGCATGTCCACCGTCTCGCCGGGCAGCAGCCGCTGCTCGTCAAAGCAAAAGCACTGGATCTTGTTGAAGTACGGGCCCGACTGCATCGGCACGACGTTGTACGTCGCCACGCCGACGATCGGCTCGTCCGAGTGGTTCGTCTGAACGAGGGCGATGCGGACTGAGCTCGCGCCCGCGCGGGTGGAAGGCGGAGGTGGCTGGAGGCAGGTGGCTGGCGGAGGCTGCTGCGGGCGGTGGCAGGAGCGCGAGGCCGCGCCGTCTCGAAAAAGGCGAGGGCCGTCTGGCCCGCCATGAGCTGCACCGACTTTTGGGCCGGCTTGAAGGACCACGGCAGGTGGGGGTCGACCACCGTGTCAAAGGTCACCGTCAGCGTGCGGTTGCCCGGCAGCGTCGACGGGTCCTCAGGCAGGTCGTAGCCGTCATCGTCGTCCGCACCGCCCTTGTGCGTGCGCACGGTGCCACCGTAGCCGGTGGCTTGACAAAAGACGCGGTAGAGCGGCACGGAGGCGTACGACAGGCCCACCGCCCCGATGGCAACCGCGAGGAATCCCGCGCCGAGCGACGCGTTGTCGCCCCAGAAGCCGCCCTCCGCGGCGCCCCTCGCGTGCGCGCCGCTGGTGCCTGGGCCGCCGCCGCCGCCGCTGCTTGCAGCACGAGTGCGGCTGACCGGCAGCGCTGGCGCTCGGCGCTTGGCGTGGCGGGCGCAGGCAGCCGACGATGAAGCCCTCGCGGCGAGCACCGCCCGCATTCCCAGAAGGTTCCAAAAAATTTTTTTTCGCAAAAAATTTTTTTTCGCAACGCGCGATACACAGCACCGTCCTCCCATCCCTCCCTTCTTGAGCGGCCTGCCTTATTTCTTTTCTTACGTCGGCAGGGGACTGAACAGAAACTTCTGGGAGGCTGAGCGAATCCTTGAGCGCGCTCGCTTTCATCGCGACACGCCGCGCGACGCGCGCGCTGAGCCCGTACGACCTACACGACCTCCAAAACCGTGAGGGACTCCTGCCGTCAACATGCTGCGCATCCTGCTCCTCTCTCTCACGCTCGACGTCGTGCTCGGTCACGGCTACCTCACATGCCCCGCGCCCCGCATGAAGCGCGACCAGCCCATCCCCGGAAACGAGTGGACGTCGTGGGCGGCGATGGTGGGAGAGTCTCGCGGCGTCGGAGAAGGCAACGCACCCAATCTGAATGGCGGTGGCCGCGACGTCGAGATGGTGAACTCGCACGGCCTGTGCGGTGGTACTCCCACGACTGGCTTCATGGCTGGCAGCCCGTTTGGCCCTACCGATCCGCGAGGCACCTTTGAGGCCGGAGGCGTGATGCGCGTCACGTTCAAGATCACCGCGTATCACGCCGGCTGGGTCGAGTTCAGGCTCGCTGTGCCGGAGGACGGAGGCATCGACAAGTCCATCCCCATCACACAGGACCTGCTCAACCAGCACGTCCTCGAGATTGACGATACCACTCCCTACTACGACAGCGTCATCGACTATGCCAGCGTGGCGGGCGACGTCAAATGCCGCATCACGGGCTCGCAAGCTCATGTCGACTCGACCGCCTCCCAGTCGGCCAGCGATACGTGGCCGAAGGGCTCATGCTGCAACGGCGACGGCGACTGCAGCCCACCCTCCGAAAACCGCGACCGCTATGTCATCGAGCGCTCGCCAGACTCTCCCGAGCTCGGCGTCTATGGGGTGACGGAATACGTGGCCGTCCTCAAGGTTCCGCCTGGCGTCGTCTGCGATCGCTGCGTTCTTCAGTGGTACTACCAGACCGCCAACTCGCCAAGCGGATACCCGGAAGGCTTTTGGAACTGCGCCGACATCGCCATCAGGCCCGCAGGCGAGGCTGGCCCCTTTGGCTGCGCCAAGGCTGACGGCTCGCCGGACGCTGAAGCGCCTCCCGACTCCGACCCTAACGACGACCCAGCCTCTGGCGGCCCACCCACGGGATATATTGGCTTCTGCGCGACGACCTGGGCAGAGTACGGCGAGAATGCGCCGGCGACGTGCATGCCCTGCAACGACGCGGCCGACTGCCCGGCCGGCCGCAGCTGCTGGGGCGAAACCTGGTGCACAAGTTCGACAAAGTGCGGCGAGACGGCCGATTGCGGTGGTGCGCCGGCGCCGTCCCCAAGCTGCGGGCCAGCCACCGAGCAGGTCACCTGCGCCGCCACGCCGCAAGAGTGCTCCGGCTTCACTGCCGCGTGCGAGGCGTGGTGCGGCGACACGTGCACCGCCAGCTCCACCTGCGGGGTCGAGGACCCCGCCTACTCCTCAATGCTCAAGAACGAGTGCTCGTGTGATTGCTCGGGATGCGGAAACGACACGCCCATCTCGTTGAGCTGCTTTGAGCCCGACACGACGCCGCCGCCCTCCGCCTCGCCGTCGCCGTCGCCGCCACCCTCGCCATCGCCACCCTCCGCCTCGCCGTCGCCGCCCCCGGGGCCGCAAGCCGACGAAGCATGCGCCGAGCTGCGCCGGGTGGTTGAGTTCATTTGCCCGGCGTCGACAGACTGAACACTAAAACAAGTGCATGCACACATATGCACATGCACATGCACATGTGCATGTCCATGTGCATTGTGCGATGTGCAACTTGATGTGCATGTGCATGTGCGCATGTGCGCATGCCACATGCACATGCACATGTGCATGCACATGTGTATGGGCCAGACCCCGGCGCGCATGGTCCTTGGTGTGTTGATGTATCGCGTGGGGCTCGTGCTCTCTCTTTCGAGAGCCGCAGCGCACAGGCGCGCAGGCACATACAGACACAAGCTAATACAACACACACTTCTGTCAGCAGCAGTGCCCACACGGTAGCCGAAAAACGTATTTCCCGTCGCCTCTCTTTCGGGCGGACGACTGCGAGCCAAACAGTGTCAGCCAACCAGTGTGAGCAGCCACGCCAGCACGCATCCAGCGGCGCCGCCTCCGAGGTGTGCCTGCCACGAGACACCACCGCGCGAGAGGTCGGCCCCGAGGGTGCCGAGCAGGAGGAGCAGCGGGTTGGAGGCGTTGACGTCACCAAGGATGTGCACGGCAGACGTGGGGCGGAGGACGCTCAGAGCCACGATCACGCCCGACACGGAGCCGGATGCGCCCACGGTGCGGGCGTCGGAGAGCAGCGCGGCGGCGAAGCCGCCCGCCCAACCGCAGGCGAGGTAGAGGGCGAGCAGGAGGAGCTGGTTGCAGCCGAGAGCGCCCGAGACCTCGGAGCCGACCGCGAGTAGCGTCAGCATGTTGCCCGTGATGTGCGGCAGGTTAGCGTGAGCCAGCTGGTACATGAGGAGTCGTTCGTGACTCAGGGACTGCCGCGAGATGCTCCACCGCCCCGAGTTTGCGAGCGCAGGCAGGTAGCAGGCGACATTCGCGATCACGATCAGAAAGAGGGCCCAGTGGCCCTCGGCAAGCGTGTCGCACAGAGGGTCGACAAAGGGATCGGCCACGTGCCGCAGCTCGTACGGCACCTCGTACCGCAGGCTGCGGCAGCTTTCGACTAGCGAGGGCGAGAAGCGCGCACGGCTGCATGTGGACGGGCCGAGTGCTGCGAGCACAGCGGCAGCCGCCGCACTGGCTGCGAGCGCGTCCTTCACGAGCTTGGTGTCGCGGTTGCGCATGACATCCGCGAACCCTGGGTTCGGACTTTTTGCGGGGTATGGTATGGTAAAGCAACCCACCTCGAGACCATACCCCCCCGCCTGCTGACAGACCCAGCCTCCCGGCTGCCGGCCTCGGGCGGTCAGGACCATACCCCCCCACCCTTTGGGCCGCGATGCCGATGGTACCATAACCTCCCCGGAAAAAGTTGGAACCCTGCCGCCCAAGCATTTGTTCCAAGCATGGCGCGGGTTTTTTTTCAAATTGGAAGAAAAAACCGAGAAATGCTCGCCGCTTCCGTTCCCCTGAGCGGTGCCCCCCGATCCGCGATCGTCCTTCCAAGATCTTGCTCGTGCCGACTGCAGGTCCAGGTGTGTGTCTGTCACCCCTTTCTCCCATCGCCCCTCGTTCCATCTCGCGCCCGGTGTCTTTCTCTCTTACTCTTTTCATGACTACCTTTTGCGTTTTCTTTCTTTGGGAAGCGGGCCCGCAGGCAGCTCGATGTGAGGAAGTGCTACGTATAAAGCCCCGGGGAAGCGACTCAGACCCTAGTGTCGGGCCACCTTTTCACAGACTATATTGTCCAGTCCCGCCGCACACGGGTCACGGCGCTACCCGCCGCTGCCCACGGGCTGGCTCGCTGCGAGCAGCTCCTCGAGCTCCTCCCACTCGGCGTACAGCCCGTCCACCCTCTGCTGCACGCCCTCCCTCGCCGCGCCCAGCTCGGCCAGCTTCGCCACGTCGGCGCCGGCCTGTAGCATCGCGCCGTCGATCTCCTGCAGCTCCGCCTCGAGGGCGTCCACCTTGCTCTCGATGGTGGCGATCTTCTTGGGCGCCGCCGAGAGCCGCTTCTGCCGCTGCCGCTCCAGCTCGCGAGCCGCCTTGGCCTCGGCGGCGCTCAGCTCAGCGTTGGAGTCGTCGTCGTCCCCGCCGCCGAGCGAGTTGCGCACTCCGCGGTCGGCCTCGCTGAAGTCGGAGTCGCACAGCGGCCGCTCCTCGACGCGGCACGACCCGCCGGAGACATAGCCGACGTGCGTCGCGCGCAGCGCCTCGCAAAAGGCGCGGTCGTGCGAGACGACGACGAGGGCGCCCTCGTACGCCTCGAGCGCGGCGAGGAGGGCGAGGATCGCGCCCTGGTCGAGGTGGTTGGTCGGCTCGTCGAAGAGTAAGACGTTGCACGGCGTCAGGCAGAAGGTTGCGAGCGCGACGCGCGCCTTCTCGCCGCCTGACAGCGAGCCGATGCGGCGCAAGGCCTTGTCACCGCTGATCCCAAGAGCGCCCAGAGTCCCGCGGCAGCGCTCGTCCGTCACGGCCGAGCCGCCGCCTTGCCGGACGGCGGAGGCGACATACTCCAGCGCGACAGCGCCCTGCGGCAGCTCCTGCGCCAAGTCCTGCGCAAAGATGCCAAGGGCAAGCCGCTCGTCCTCTCGCCGCTCCCCCGCCGCGAGGGGCAACGCACCTGCAAGGGTTGTGGCCCGGTGCAGTGGTGAGGCCCACGGGGGAGGGAGGGAGAGGGAGGGAGGGAGGGAGGGAGGGAGGGAGGGAGGGAGGGAGGGAGGGAGGGAGGGAGGGAGGGAGAGAGAGAGATCTAGAGAGAGAGAGAGAGAGAGAGAGAGAGAGAGTCACGGGCGCGCGCCGGACAGCGCGCGCAGCAGGGTCGACTTTCCCACGCCGTTTGGCCCGCGGAGGACGAGCCGCTGCCCGCGCCGCACCTCGAGCTCCACGCCTGCTCGCAGAGAGAGAGAGAGAGAGAGAGAGAGGCGTGAGACAGGCCCGCAGATGCGCCTCGCCGCCGCTGGCGCACCGAGCACGATGGCGGCCTGGCCGACGGCGGGCGCGACGTTGGCGCCGCGCAGCGCGAGCGGCAGCTCTCCGCAGCGTGGCGGCTCGGCGAGCTGCAGCCTGGGCCGCTTCCGCGTCGAGAGCACCTCCGCCTCGGCGGCCGCCTGCTCGGTCGCCAGCTTGGAGAGAGCCTGCCTCGCCCCGGCCGCCTGGCAGAGGGAGCACGCCCGGTCTGCGTCGCGTGGGTGCGGCGCGGCTCTCGACCCTCCTCCCTCCCTCCCTTCCCCCTCCCTCCCTCCCTTACCCCTCCCTCTCTCTCTCTCTCGCCTCTGGGTCTACCACCTTGGAGCGGTCGACATTCTCCCACTTGTTGACCACGGCCTGCAGCCGCTGCTCCTCACGCCGCTGCTTCTCGACCGCCGCCGCCGCCGCGCGCCGCCGCTCCTCCTTGAGCGCCTCGACCTTGCCGAGCGACGTCTTTGGGTAGGTCGTCAGCCTGCCGCCCTCGACGTCGGCGATCGAGTCGCATGCCACGTCGACAAAGGCGGCGTCGTGAGACACGACGAGGACGGTGCCCTCGTACTCGCTCACGTAGTCGGCCAGCCAGCGGCGCGCCGCCGCATCGAGGTGGTTTGTCGGCTCGTCCATCACCAGCAGCTCCGGCTCGGAGAGCAGCAGCCGCGCGAGGCCGATCCTCATCTGCCAGCCGCCAGAGAAGGAGGAGCAGGGACGCTCGAACTCCTCCTCCGTGAAGCCGAGCCCCTTGAGCACCCGCGCCACTCGACCCTCCACCGTGTAGCCGCCCGCCGCCTCAAACTCGCCCATCGCGCGCTCGAGCGTCTCCAGCTCTCTCGCCGCGCCCGAGACACACGCCACCTCGGCCGCCTCGAGCGCTGCCTTGGCCGCTTGGAACCCTTCCATCCGCGACATGACCTCCTCGCGCACGCTCCGCTCCGAGCCGGACACCGCAGTCTGCTCGAGCAGCCCAAAGCGCAGCCGCGGGTTCACTGCGATCTCGGTGGCTGCGTCGCCAGCCAGGTCTGCAGCCTCTGCGATGGCTCGGAGAAGCGTTGACTTGCCACATCCGTTTGGGCCGAGGAGCGACCACCGCTCGTTGGGCATCACGCGCCAGGTCACGCCACGGATGAGGCTGCTGCTGCCCGCCCACACATCCAGATCTCGAATCGTGACGGCAGCACCGCTGCCGTCGAGCGCCATCGTGGCGGGCGCACGGCACGGCGGTCGAGGACTCGCGTGGGCGCTCAGGCCGATGGTGAGGCCGCGGGTGAGGCTTGTGAGGCTGAGCATTGTTGCGAGGAGTCGGCAGGCCCACAGGGGGTCGTTGCTGGGGCTGGTCCACAGGGGGTCGATGCTGGGGGCTGGGGGGGGGGCGGCTTCGCTGTGCTAGCAAAACGGCGAGGCAGGGTCCAGCTCCTAGGACCTAGCCAGATAGGGGGTCTGTGCCCATGACTCGCACCAAAACGCCCTACCTACCTACCTACCCCCAGGCCGCGCAGCGAAGCGAAAAAGGACGAAAAAAGGGGGTACCTACCTGTTGCAGGGCCCTCTGGGGCGGTCAAAACCGGACAAGTCCGTTGTCGACCCGCTCGACACGCTCAACACACACGACACGTAACTCACAGGCGAAGGAATCCAATGACACTGTAGTGTACATGGCGCGCGCGCTCCGCACTACGAGCGCGAGTGGCTGCGGAGCGCCCCCTTGAGCTCCGCCACCTGGTCGAGCGCGTCGCCGAGCAGCCCCTTGGCCACGCCCAGGTCGCGCAGCTGCTCCACGCCGCCGCTCGCCCGCACCTCGGCGGCGTGGTCGGCCACGAAGCGGCGGCACTGCGCGAGGAGCCGCCCGTCGCCCATCGTGTGCGCCGCCTCGAGCAGCGGCACGGCGGTCGCCGGCCCGACGCTCTCCTGCAGCGCCTGCGCGCAGAGCAGCTCGAGGCGCGGCACCTGGTACTTATGCGCCAGCTGCCGCAGCACGAGCGCGCGCCGCGCCTGCTCGCCCTCCCCCTCGCCGAGGTCGAGCTGGTCGGTGAGGAGGTAGCGGACGAGGGCGGTGAAGCTGGCGAGGTCCGTTTCGAGCACCGTGACCTCGGCGGCGTCGCGCTCCTTCATGCCGATGCCAAACATGGTCCGAAAGAACACGGACCGAACGCAGAGGACGTTCTTGCTCACGTGCTCGACGCGCTCCTCGTCGTCGCCGACCAGGAAGGTGACCATGCCCTGGGGCAGAGTAGCGTCGCCCCACGTCTTCTCCATGTCGGCGGAGAAGGTGGAGGGCGGAACCACGAGCGGCGCGAAGGAGGGAGGCGGAGGAGGAGCCGCCACGCAGACCTGGCGGAGGCGGCCGCTCTCGCAGACCGAGAGGGTGCTGCCGTCGGGGCTGATGGCGAGGGACGCTGGGTGTTTGAACTGCGCCGCGCCGCCCACGCCATCAACGCTGCCACTGGCACCGCTGCCCGCGAGCGTAGTGACTGCGCCAGTCGCCACCTCCACCCGACAAATCTTGTGGCTGAAGCAGTCCGCCACAAACAGCGCGCTGCCGTCCGGGCTGACAGTGACGCCGTATGGGGCGCTGAACTGCGCCGCGCCGCCGACGCCGTCTGCATCGCCTTGTTCGCCGCTACCCGCGAGCGTAGTCACAGCACCGGTCGCCACCTCCACCCGCCGGATTCGTTGGTTGCGGTCGGTCACAAACAGCGCGCTCCCGTCCGGGCTGAGGGCGAGACCGTATGGCCAGAGGAACTCCGCCGCGCCGCCCACGCCGTCTGCATCGCCTTCCTCGCCGCTACCCGCGAGCGTAGAGACCGCGCGAGTCGCCACCTCCACCCGCCTGATCTTGTGGTTGTCGTCATCCGCCACAAACAGCGCGCTGCCGTCCGGGCTGATTGCGAGGCCGCGTGGGCCGCAGAACTGCGCCGCGCCGCCGACGCCGTCTGCATCGCCTTCTTCGCCGCTGCCCGCGAGCGTCGTCACCGCGCCAGTCGCTACCTCCATCCGACGGATCTTGTGGTTGCCGAAGTCCGTCACAAACAGCGCGCCGCCGTCCGGGCTGAGGGCGAGGCCGGAGAACCCGCCGCCTTCGCAGGTCGCCACGGTGCGCACGCGCCCGGCCGCCGAGACGTGCAGCACCGAGTCCTTAGTCGTGACGTACCAGGCGCCCGCGTGATCGATTGCGAAGCCGCGCAGATCGAGGGACGCCAGAGGTCCGTCCTCGCCCTCGAGCGCCAGCGTCGTGACCTGGCCGACGGAGCGCGCGCCAAAGATGGGCGTCTCGAAGCCGGCAGCGACCGCCACGGGCTCGCCCTCCTCCTCGCTGCGGCCGCGCTTGCGGGAGGGCGAGGCCATGACCGCGCCGCATTGTCGGATTCTTTTTTCTTTCTTTAGCCTTCGAGATGTTATGAAACAAACGCAAAGCGGCCTTTTTTCTTTTCCAGATCTTCAGCCGCGGCGGAGATCGACTGCCTCGTGACGCGATGGTGGTTGCCAGCGTGGCGGCGCCTCGGGTGGGTATGGTTCTTGCACTTGTGCAAGATTGGGCGTCTTCTGCAGCAGTCCCTTTGATGTAAGGCCCCAGGGTGGGGGCCACCTCGAACCCCCGGCCAGGGATTCGAGCGGAGGGTGCCCCGGATTCATCATCCGTTGGGCCCCGGTACATTCATTAGAACTGATCACTTTGCGCAGCAACCGTCTTGCGCGGCCATTACCTCAGGCAGGAATATTATTAATAAAATCGACACCTCTCCATGCTCTCACAGCAGACTCGTGGCGCGCACCACTACTAAATCGCTGGCTTTTTATTCTCCGCGCTCTGTGAGCGCCCGCCGTCGCCGATAAGACAGAGACCGCTGGGCTACTACCGATGTCTAGCCATCATGAGGCTGCATCGCGAGTGGTAGCACTGGGCCACGGCTACACGGCGCTAGTGATCGTCGCCACCAATAACCACTGGGCGGAACTTCTGAAACGATGGTTGTCCGGCTGCGTCCTTAACTCCGCGGCGCTCCCATCGGCGGTCAAAGCAATGCTGCAGCACGGTGCTGAGATCAACTGCCAGGCGGACGATGGCTTCACCGCGCTAATGATGATCGCCGCACACGGCGACAACCCTTCCAGTGTGCTCGCCACCAAGTCAAAGGCGTCGAACTCATCCGCTTCCATCACCCCCCAGCTCTCAGTGCCCCGGCACCTTCTGAATCTGCTGACGGGCACCCTCGGCGGTCTTTTCCTCACGTACTGGTGGTGCCAATGCGCCGCTGAGTGCGCGCTACGCATGCGCACGGTCTCAGTCTTGGTGCTACTCACGACAATGGTCTATCACGGCGCGCACAGCTACGGGCACGAGCAGTGGGCTGAGCGGTTCATGAAGGTGGACATTGTTGCCGTCGTCGTCGGGGCATGCGGGCTGCTGTCCAGCACGCCACCCATCGCGAGCTTTCGAGTCTGCCTTCTCCTCGGCGCAAGCCTCGCGATCTGGCTGCCGAGCTTCGGGCCGCTAAAGGGCATTCCCCACAACCCGATCCTCAGTGCTTGCCACATCTTGGGCATCCTCGCGCATCGAGAGGTACTAGCGGCCGTGTGCTAGGCACGAGTAGACTCGAGGGAAACAGGCTCGATGAGGTGATGAGGCTTGCGAATCGATGTGGAGAACTGTTCTCGCCATGGCGCGTATCTTGTCTCGTTCGTGTGTCGCGGTGGGCGCGCCGCCTCCATCCGCACAGGCAACGCGAACCGAATCGCGAATGTGTGCGGGTCCCCTTATATACTGTGTAGCGCACTGCGCCAAACAGATCTATAAACAACGAATATGACCCGTCCCTGCACACAAAGCATTCGAACTATTTCGTAAGCAAGATGTCACTATCCAGCCACATCTCCATTTTCGCGTGCGGGGCGTGGCGCGTGGCGGGCCGGGGGCTCTCTCGCCGCTTTTACTCAAGTCGCGCGGGCCAAGCCATGTCGTCAGCCCACACTCCACAGCAGCCGGCCGTTCCCCCGTGTCCAACCCTCGCCTCTGCCATTCCCCACCAAGCCCGTGTCCCTGTCGATCCGTTCGTTGGTGCTCTGGGCGACGGGAAGCGCTCACTCGAAACCAGTGTACGTCGACCAGTCGGTGCGCACCTGCTCAATCTTGCGACGCACCGCGTCACGGTCGGCCCCAAACTGAGCGAGGAAGTCGGGCAGGCGACGCGCAATCACCTCCTGGCCAATGGACAGACCGACCCGGTTGTCCGAGTCGTAGTGCACGCCTGCCAGCGTCCGGAAGCGGGAGACGGCCCAGTCGAGGCGACGGGCGTCAGCCAGCTGCGCCCGCGACAGGTCCATCATGACGGCGACCCAGAGGGCGGCGGAGGAGGCGGCGGAGTGCATTGCTGGGTATGAGGGGTGCCGCGGCGACCCCTCGGGGTACGCAGTGAAGTCGGTGGCCGACACCAAGGTCATATTTGTGATCTTGGCGCGGATCGAGGCTGGCACTCCTGGCAGGGTGCCCTGGGACACCGCCCAGGCAACCTCCTCCGGTCGAGCGCGGCCATTGCCCCACTTGCAGGCAAAGGCTGTGGGCGAGACCTCAGAGACGGCCCAGCCGGCCATGCGCGAGAGCAGCACCTGCGCGCGTGTTTGAGTGTGGCGATAAGCCCGCCGCGAGGTTGTGCGCCAGGCGCGGGGCGACGGGCGCGCCACGGGGGCGCAGGACACTCCAAGTGCTAGCACAGCTGGGTCAAGGCCGCCCTACGGCGCGCACGTCAGTATTGACAAAGTCGGTCGCCGATCGCTGGGGGACGATCTGCGGGTCCATGCGTGTGCCGCGTGAGAGGAGGTGCTTGACCAGCTCCGACGGCCACGTGTTGGGGAACTCGGAGTGCACCGCTTCGGCGCCGTCCGTCATGGTGTAGCCGAGCATGATCTCTGGCAGCGACGCGAACTCGCTGGCGGGCCGAAGGGGGTTGGCGCGCCGCAAGAGCTGAACGTCGACAACATCCTCAAACTCGACCCAAAAGGCCGACGGGTCGGCGTCGTCCGCGTGGGTCGCCGCCGGCGCCCAGTCGGGAGGAAACTCGACGAGCGACTCGGACGAGAGGACCGGCGATTCGGCGTCCGTCGTGTTCAGCGTCGCTGCGCCGGCTGCAGACAGAGGGAACGAGACGGCGGGCCCATTGTACTTTTGGAAGCGGAATGGGGCTTGCAGGGCTGGAGGAGGAGCCGCTGGAGGAGCCGCTGGCTCGCCTCCATCACCGGCCCAGATCAACTCTGAGTCGTGGCCGCAGCCAGTGCTGCGGATGCAGTCAGCCTGC